GAGAGGCAAAACGCGCGGCAAGGAAGGACTCAGAAGGAGATAAGACGAAGGTTGCGCGCGGTTGGGTTCGGTGCCGTGGCAGATATGGTGGCCATACACAATACACGTGACTCCCCGTGCCCGAATGCACATTGTGCAGTTGCGTCGGCAGGTATCTCGCGCACGTGAGACCCATGCCCGTGAGCGTTCGAGGGGACTGGAGTTACATGTATATTTATAATACACTCCGCGGCAAAATTAAGCGAGCACTTGTAATCGCATGAAAAATGGCGCGGTTCGTTCTGTCGTTGTAAAATTGCCGTGGACCTGTGTAAATGGAGCAGTTTGAAGCTTCATGCACCAGGGTTTGAGTAAGACTGGGCGTTCCCCCCTGGTGGTTCTTGTGTGCAACGTAGAAAGTTGCTCAACTTCGAGATTATCCACAAGGTTTGCAAAATTTTGTATTTGACTTCTATGTATGGCAAATTATAGCTTGAAGTATAAGCTTTGCTTTGATTTTTGGTAGATGCAGATACTATCTTTTTTTCTGAAGTTAAAATAATTTTTCTCCACTTCCTTGTACAATCATTTTTCACAAAATTCCGAAATATTCTCCACTTGTCGGACAAGGTTGAAGCGACGCTTTAATTTTGTCGCGGAGTGTATAATCAAGGATACCGATCTCGTCGACGAAACGAAAAACTCGGTCCCAAGGACGAGAGTGCTCGGGGCACACGGTGCAGAGACAGAGGGAAGGCAGCACGCCGCTTTTCTTTCAACGGGGCAGGCTTCCCCTTTTCCACGAGCTGCGACGGGGTCCGTTTTTGCTGCTGGGTTAGGTGAGAAGCGGCTGCTTCCCGTTGCGAATTCCTTTCCGAAGCGCGAGCGCACGTCAGACCTGTCGAGGGCGACGCGTTAATTACTCGCGTCAAGCAGGCCTGCCGGATAAAGCGCCTGTTAGCGGCGCGGATCGCGTGATTCTGTGCTATTTTTCATTCCGAGCGCCGCGTTTGGACAAATTTTTATCGCGTCGATCGCTAGACGAGAGCTTACAAGGGGTTGCAACGTGTCAGATGTCGTTTTCGAACTCATGTGTGGTCCAACGGACGTTCCGATGCAATTTCAAGCTTGAAATGATGAGAAAGATGAGAGATTCCATTTTCGAGGGTGCGAAGAAATGGAGAACGCGAAGAATCGTCAGCCTAGATCGCAAATTTCTTTCAATTTCAATCTTCCTGTCTCCCATATGTCCCACGAGAAACTAGACATTGACCAGAGTCGAGCAATTCATCCTTCGTCGCAGGTATCACGATGTCTGACCTAGCACGGGTAGCAACCCCTGTCAGACCAAATCTATCTTTCTTCACCCACTAACAGTAAGACTGACTGAACACGCCTAGCGTTCCATTAGCCTTCCACAAATCACGGGCTTCGTAAAGAGTAGTCAAAGCATCCGAAACACCAAAAGTTGCAATTCTTTCCCGATCCTCCCCTCTCCAACCCATAGAGCACGTCAAACGGGTTCGCAAGCTCAACAACGCGTTCAAAATTGAGGAAATTCGAGGGACCAAACGATCGACAGCAGCGTCGCGTCATCGCGCGGACGAGGGGGTTGTTTTTGGACGTATATAGATTTCGGTCGGCTCGAGAGCAGCCGGCAGCGCGACGGAAAGAGAGAGAGGCAGAGAGTTCAGGGTCGAGGCATACAGGTGGTCCATAACATAACAGTCACTGCGTTTTATCCGGCAGTAAACCGGCGGCAGGCGCTCCAGCTCTATGATTTAATACCCCAAACCCTTTCCTCCCCGCCGACACCCGCGCAACCCCCTTACGACCGCCCCCTCCTCGACTACCAGCAGCCTCTGCCTCCCTCCCACCTCTCATTTCTCTGCTCTCAACCCCTCCTACGCGGCGTTGCACTCGCGTGCTTGCATTAACCCAGTGCCGCGGAATGGCATTATCAGCCTGATGCTTCCTATGGTTGCGCAAGGGTCACGCCGACGCTTGAGGAGAAAAGGGTTTGCGAACATGTGACGATCCCATCTTTGAGGACGCGTCGAAAAACGATTAGATTGGACCGAGGATGCTCGATATGAAGACAATGGTGAAAAGGGTCGATGTTTACCTAATCGAATCATGTAGAGTATATGAAGAGCCTATCTAAAGAACGCTAGACACTCTTTATTCAACAATAGTCTGAGCTTTTTAAAAGTGTACCAGATGTCTATTATACAAATCAAAGTATAAAACCTTCGGCACTGATGAACGTCCTCTAATTTACCACCCCCAACAATAAACTTTAATATACCAAGCCCTTCGTAATTTTTATCTAAATCTCTAGCTCACAGAAAGTCATCGTCCTAAAGTCTAAAAAGCTCCGAACGATAAAACTTCGCAATTTCTAGAGAAATACTCGTTAGCAATGCCTATCCATGGAAGGACGTAAATCGGTATACCGGATGGAAGCATCGACGTGCAGCGGTTTCGAGGATCAACGGGGGTGGACCAGGCCACCGATCCCGACGACGTTCCACAGAGTTGGCGAAGCCGTGTAACTCCCGAAGCTCGACCACCGCAGAAGCTCCGTAACTCTGTTAATTCATATCTGGAAAGTTGGCCGTCGCTTGGAAAGAGAAACGACGGAGGAAGGGCTGCGCGCACGGGGGTGGTCGTGGGTGGTCGGAAGACGGGGGTGGACGAGGAGGTGGCGCGGATGGGGTGGTCGGACCGACTAGATGGGCGGAAAGAGGGAAAGAGAAGGCTGAGTTAGCCGGTTGGGGGTGGCTGAAGGCAGAGGAAGCCGAAGGGTGCGTGGGGAGGGTTGGTTTCCTTGCCTGGCATCGAGGAATCGATACGCCGGTGGGAGCCCAGCGCCACCAACGCCTCCGACGTCCAACGTCATTGCACCTCGACGACCGAAGCCTCTCTTCCTCCGCGAGGTGCGTCCAACTTTCGCAACCCCGGCTCTCCTGCGGGCCACTACACCCCGGTTCTCCCTCGCGGCACCTGCACATTCGCCATCCAACGAACGACTCGTCTCGCGAGGGCACCAAGTTCCTCGAGCAACTTCGGCGCGGAAATTGTCATGATCGTCAAAGACGTCCGTTACGACCGCGAGAAGCACGAGGGATGAGAATTACGAGGGAGCGGGAGGGTTGGAGCAGAGCTGGCGCGAGGAACGATGAATCGAAGGTGGTTCGACAGACTTTAAGAAAAGTCACAAAAAAGAAACTCGATATTTCGATCTGAAACGACCATACCGCTCCTAAATTTCTCCTAATCAGATGTTAACGAATCGCAGGATTAATATTTAGCGCGTCGGGACCAGTCGTTCGCGCAAAGAATATAAATGGCGAATGTATCCCGATACGGCTTAATCGGGGGTTGAATAAATTCGAGATTAAAATCGATGCTTGTTACTCAAAATTTGTTTTTCGCACCGCAACGCCGCGTGCACGCGCTCGCGCTCGTACGTCGGCTATAATTGCCCCCGAAAGTACTGATTTATCGCTTGGGGCGTACTGACAGGGTATCAACGATTTATTTGCCTACTTTTATTGGATCGATCGCAATGCCTCCCGTTAATTAGAAACTACTACATATTGCGGAATCGAACCCAGCGTATTACCTATCGCGGCCGAATCGACACGCTGGCAATGCGTATTAATTAACGCAGCCGACGCACGATTTAATTTCGTTTCGTTCCGCAACGCGAAACGAACCCGGGGCACCGTGATTAGCGGAAATTCGAGGACGCGAATTTCATTCCGGCTGCGTTATGAGCGAAATCTCCCGTCGACAGGTAATTCGAAAAAAAAAACTGCTGGGTCCGACTAATTCCAGCAGATTCACTACCCTAATTAGCTCCCAATTGTAGGTGGTCGCAAAGCTCTGCTTCGTTCACGATAGATTTCTGTCTGTTTCCTTATCAACTTTCGCGATTATCATCTTTCCGAACAGGGGGTCTCCAAATATATGTATCATATTTTTAAGAAAAACTACAATTTATGACTATCGACCGCGTTCATAAGATCCAAAGATGGATCCTGAGGACATGCGATCAACATCGACATCACTCAACCAACTGACCCCTCGAAGTAGTCTCCTAAAGAGCGATAACGTCAGGTATGGTTGAGAACCGTGCTATGGGAGCCTCTTTGGCATGGTCGCAAAAATAATAGAACGCGATGCACGGGCGACCGTTAGCTAAATGGTATGTAATACCATTTACCCACAATACCGCTCCCATCGTCGTGACTGGTAAACAACGTCCGATCGCTAATTAATAGTGTGTCTTCCGTCGTAATTTGCGACGTTCGACCAACCTGACATTACCGCGGTCGCGTCACGACTCTATCCTCGTTGTGCCTCGTAATAACAACTTCTACATTAGATAATGAGGACCTGTGGACCCAGCTGCGGGATGACCCAGGAGCGGAGGAAACTTTTCAGAAGCGTAAACACACGTCATTACGTTTAACAGCGCGCTACGGGACGAGCACAATGCCGTGGAAAACTTCAAAGAACACACCACTACCGTCACGCATCCATGGGAAATGGATCTATCGTCGATCTTCAGGAACTGGGGGAGCGACATGATCTATCCTAGCTGGTGATCGAATTAAGAGGGAGCTATGCTGATGTGGAAGCTCTCAGTTTCGAATTTGCTTGGGGTTTAGAAGCTTGAGGGTTTGGTATTAATCAAGGTCACAGAGATTTGTTTAAAAGTGTTGTCCAATTTTTTTAGGGTTTTCTATAGTCATTGTCTTCTGTCTCTCATCTATGGAGCATCGTTCAAGGGCACTCTTTACAGCTCTCCGCAGTGGACTTTACTCGAGATATGGTCGAACAAAGTTGCAGCGCAACTCCGAAGTTTCATACTCGCGAGAAAATTCCGTGAAAACCGTGGAAAAGAGTACAGCACGAGAGACTACAAATTCTGAAGTTAACGCCTTCCCTCCCGCGAAAACAGGCGAACGAAAAATTTCTTAGGTATTTTCTGAGTTAAACTTCAAACTTACTGCGGCCACGGATCCAGCCAGGAGAATCGAGTCGCCAACACTTACCTGCAACAGAAAAGAAAGGAAACGAAGTTAGTGAAAACAGTTTATTCAAGGTTCTAGGTTGTACGAGTTATTTTTTTTTTATCAAACAGAAATTAACCAATCATTCGGAGTTAAATATTAGCGCAGTACGAAATTAACCGCCCCCCCCCCCCGTGGGAGCAAATAAAATGCTCTCCGTTGAAATATTGAAACTATAAAACCGGTTAATTGCCTGTACAGATTTGAGCTTAGCGTGCGATTCGTTTCACCCGTAACGACGAGGTCGGTGGGCTCGCGAGCGGAAAGATCGATCGTCGAAGCGTCGAATCGATATTTCGCCGATGCAACGCGACGACGACGCTTATTATCCAGCGCGAGAGGGTGTGAAAAAGGACGGAGAGGGGTTGTTCGCCCCCACAGCGCGTGCGGTCGCGACGATTTCGCGCAAATACGTTTCCATCTACCTGCGCGGAGCTGGCTGCACGCGTGTGAGCAGGTGCGCCACGCGTGTGTGGGTGGACGCGGCGGCATACATCATCGTGCGACTAATTTCCGCGATAAATATTTTACGGACGGCCATTACGCGGGGGCCGCGTGTTCGTGCGATATAAACTATGGATGACTACGGGCGGGTGTAACGTCGAGCCCCTAACGGGGGGGAGACACGGGCGGGGTAACACGAGGGGGGTGGAATCAGGGGTGGGACCAGAAAGGTTTGACGCCCGTAAAACGCGCGGGAACGTCACGATGCGATTCGACCGCGCCGTTTTACTCATTAAAATCTGTTTGTCCGCGCGATAGTGGAGCGCGATGCTTTCAGCCCCGCGGGCTGCACGGCGGTCGGGGGTGAAATACGCGGATAGTGGCGCGCCCCTTCGACAACAGCATCCCCTGGGAGCGACGTTAACGCGATAGTCGTGTATCCACGACGAAAAATTGCCTTTCCGCGAGAGGGCGCACGATATCGAACTGCAAAAGTCCTGAATGCCTGACAAACAATGGAACTTTCTGTGGTACCGGAAGTGCTGGACATTATTTCTCTTTGATAGTCTTGGAATCCTTAAAAATGCAATAGAATTGGGTGGTGAATCCTAAAGTATCTGTAACAGCAGAATTTTCTACTTTCTCTTCCATTGACTCTGATATAAATTAAACAGTCCATGAATGTTACTTCCAAAAAAAAAAAAAAAACTAAATTCATTCCTAAAGTGAACTGATTTCTCTTCAGTTGCACGAAGTCCCCCAATCGTCGAAGCCACGCAACCCTTAACGCATGCATGGCACACCAAGCGATAGAATGTTATCCGCAAAAATTTGGAGGGGTCAGGCACGAGGGTGGCTCGACAAGTGACACCGCGTTAAAAGTCGCCCGCACCGTTCCCTCGCTCAAACTCGTCGGTTAGGTTTCCAGTTAGTCCGACAAAAAGATCGCCAAGGACGTCGCAATCGACTATTCAGCTGTTCTACGGGAGCAGGTGGCAGAGCGTGACCCCGTCCGAGGAAGAACACCAAAAAGTCGTCGTGGGCGTGGCGAGGATACGCTGTCGCCGTTCGTTGCACGCGGTGGGTTTCACGAGGAACATTGATTCGATACGCGAGTCTCTCGCCCCGTTCACAATCGTCTCGTTGGGTATTGTATCTCTCATTGTCCGCGGCCGTCGGAGCCGTAATGGCGTCGTTGGCGTTGCCACGCGGCCAGATTACGCGCCGCTAATTACGTGGCAACGCACTCGCTCGCTCGAGCAACATCTGCTTGAATCGGACTAACTGTTGATGCCGAACAATGGCTCTTAGAAACGCCTGGCAACGTTAGCCGCTCGACGAGATTGAATAAGATATGGTATTGTTCGCCGGCCCGCGTTAAACGACGCAGTCGAAGCGGCTGCCACCATTGCTAATCGCGGACTTGATGTTGCCAGGATTTCGCATCAATCCTCCACACGTGCTAGTATTCCAAATCATTCTCCCTCTGCATAGGCTCGATTCCTCGTTTTAACTCGAAATCTTTGGACTCTGACTCCACTCTGATTTTGTATAGTTGGGTAGGTCTGAGTTAGATCTTGAAGAAAATGTACATTTAAGTGGTCAACATCAGTTTCAACAACAAAGACCCTGATAGTTTCTCTTTTTCCATTAGAATTCTTCAAGTCCTAACCAGATTTAGAAATGTTCTCCGTCCCCCATACTTAATTTTGTCCACTAAATAAATATTTTCCCCGTATTCCTCGGTGCCACGATTTCTACATAATAAATACTCTAAACGAAATGAAATAAAAGATTGCCCGACCGCGACAGCTCTGATTTACATCGGTCAGTCGGCGCGCAGGTTGTAAATATTCATTATCGCGAAATTTCCTGATGCAAGTAATTGGACCTGAATTACACGCGGCTCCGACTTGCATAAATTAGCGACAGTGAAATAATAAATAACTAGATGTAATTTCAATTCCCGGAGCAGGTTCGAAGTTTTAATTAAATTTCCATCGATTACGAAGAGGAAAGTCGTTGTCAGGATTCAACCGACTTCGGACAGGGTGTTTTCTTCTCGCCGGGGACAATTTTTACAGATCCGTACAGTACAATGCGCTATAGCTACAGGTGTCTGGCACTGTACATTCTTGTTACATAGTCTCCTGCATCGATTCTAGTGCCATATAATTTACCAGTCATGTTTTAGAGACTGCTCGACGTACGCGGACGAGATACAATATTCATAATTACGAGATACGAGATACATAATTACAGCCCACGCCCCGACTGGCACATTACATAACTAATTACGAACACGTTCGTTTTTATTTTACGATCCCGATGTGGTACATATACTTCAACAATACTTGTGCAACGTAAATCATGATACCGCGGTGTAAATTAGATATGGCACACTTTAACATTTATGTAACTTAAACGAAAAAACAGGTTTGCTTACGCGTATGTTAATTTAGCGTTTATAAAGAAATATGGGGAAACAAAAAATATTTACAAAATAGATGTATCTTTTTGCCTGTACAGTCATCATTCGATGCTCCTAGCCGTGAAAGGGGGCATGATTAAATTCTTGGAATCCTTCTTAGGAGTTTCAAAGATCACGCCCCAACATAAGTGCTCCTAATCAATAATAACAGGCTACGTAACGAGAAAGAAACATCGATCTTGTTCATAATAAATCGCTTCACAATTTCAGCAAAATGGCATCCAGGTGTAACTACTTTGAACCACGAAATACCAAGTCAATTCCATATCGCCATAGATCACCCTCCCACGCCTAAGGGCTCATAGCAGAAACAAGAGGAAACGGAGATCGTAAGACACCGTTCTGCAAACGTTCTATCGGTTCCTAGCTCAGCCCTCGTCAGGAACGAGTGAACTTGACTTGGAAACAGGAAACCGAGCGTGGATTCGTGTCACGGACGTAACTCGCGCTGTCTGGCCGGCAGTCAAGTACAGACCTTGAAGGCGCGTAACGCGTGAAAGTTGACGCCGATCGACAGGATATTCTAGAAACCGAGTGGAAAGGAGGAGGAGAGTACGAGGATCGCCGAGCCGAGTGGGTAATTACAGCCTCCGTGCTAAATAATAATTACATTTATTAACTTATCTCGAGTCGTGATTAATCGCTGCCCGGTTTACCTCCTCGTCGTAGGGACGATTTATCGCCGAGCTAATTTTAATCGATACTATTCTCTTATCGCGATGAATTAAGGGCAATTAACATCGATCGACGTGGAACGATCGAACGTGCGAGGAAGTGAGCCACAACGCGATATGTACAGCTTGGGAAGTAGGAAAAGGCCCCTGGAGGGCGTGGCCTGAGCGTGGTGGGGTAGCTGGAGTTGAATCTGAATGCTGAGGCGTTGCATTGGTATTTAATAGAGTTCGATTGAGTTGAGAAACAGTACACAGTTTTATATTTTTGTGCACTGCATGGTTCGCCTATGGACTTTTCTACCCTGTCATCAAAAGAAACCGAGTTTCGACGATCGAATTGCTGACGCTCGGGGATGCAAGGAGGATATTAAATATGGCCTGCTCCTCGGGGGAAGAAGCCACCCGCAGGTGCGACCCTGGGGCTTCTTCTCCCCGTTGGTTCGGTTGGTAAAGCAGGGATTACCCGTGCTAAGAGGCCAAGCGGGGCTTCGCGCCTCATCGTCTGGAAAATGGCTTACTGCTTACATTTACCTACCGCTCCCGCATCCTCCGCCCCTATATAAACCATGTGCGCGTATATACGCAAACGCTTTGGACGACGACTCCTCGAAGCGCGCCTCTGTGTCGCGTGCGCCAGGGACTTGTAAATACCGCCCTTCTTCTTTCTCGTTTACTCTGTTATTAGACCAACCGGGGTGGCGCAAACAGAAATTCAAATTGATCATTATTATTTGTTTTGCGTGTTACGCGGGTGTGAACACTCGCACTAAGTTTGCTCGACCCCTACAAGAATCAAAGTTCTGAAGGAGGAATTCAATTAGATCTAATTAGTAAGTTAGCTCGAACTGGTAAGTTCAATTTGAAGGATGGTAAAATTGACGATGAATTATTTGTGCACGTCAATCATGTCTTGTGAATTTTATATTCTTTTTTATGAGCATCAGGCTCGTAGAGAACTCTAGTTATTACAACAGCCCACAATAACACCTTCTGAGACGTCATTATGGGCGTCACTTTCAAGGGTTGTTTTTCTGCACCCTCTTTGGCACCGTTAGTTTTCTCTGCTTGCAGACATAGCTGGTTTGCTAAGGTAGGTTCTATGGCAGAATTTCAGAATTCAACGTGTTAATCAGAAAAGAAGAGTGTTTATTCGAGTTGATTCAAAGAGGTTAACAGCGCTGGCTGCGAGTAGAATTAGACAACGTAGCCAGACAGCGAAACATTCCAGAGGAGCAGCTCCGCGGCAGAGACCAGAAGCAGTGATTTATGCGCCCTCGGGTGTAAGGAAAACGGGGCGGAAGCGCGGGGGTGGATTGGACTTCCTATTCCCGCAGGAAGAGCCATCCAAGCCCCTCCTTAACATCACTCGAGTT